TCCTTTCCAGTGTCGCCATGCGCTCAGGGTGCATACATGATTTAAGACGCTTCCTTAGGTCCATCCTGCCCTTGCAACCACAAACAGTATTTCTTACTGATCCATCTTTGTCGCCCCTCACTCCAGAATGTGGTTTCCTCTCCCCTTTGCCTATTTAGCTCTGATGCAGAACTCACTTCAAACAAATTGTTTCCTACCCTTGCATCCATTCAGTAGGAGGTGGTCACTTTTTTTTCCTTTTGTTCTACTTACACATTGTAATTCAATACTTATTGGTCCAATTAACTGACTACTACCCCCTTCCTCTAGGCCATTCATGTGATGAAAGGACAAAATATGACTGTTTTGCTCAGAGCCACTGATATATTACCTGGCACTTAAGTACTTCATACATTTTATTGAATGAGTGAGCATTAAACAAAACCCATCATAGGCACTTACAAAATCCATCTTGCATCAAAAGGCATTTTATAACATATGCTATTAAACTATACCATATACCCTGTTATGGTTTGGGGGTTATTTTGCAAGGAGAATAATTTATACAGGACATATATTTTATAAGATTATTTATAATAGTCACCCAAAGAATGATATACAAAAGAATTCAGGAAATCTGTCCACACACTAAGACCAAGGAATCTAGCCAAGGGCCTGGATCCCATGAAAATGTCCTGCGTGCATCCAGCTGAAGACCTAGAGCCCATAACAATGCCTCCTATGAATCCAACTGGAGGCAGAGCCCATGATAACATCTCATGCAGGCCTGTTTCACAGATCTGTGCTGGGACGCCCAAAGGTCAGTGGTGGAATCCAGAAAGTCATCCTAGTGGGATGAAGGATCTGTGCTAGCAGGCTGAGGGATCTACACTGAAGCCTGGAAGCAATGTGCAAAGTAAGAACCAGAGCTCCCCTGAAAAGTACCACAGCGATCCTCAGTAACAGTGAGGTTCTGAGCTCCTCCAATGAAGAAGACAGCTGAGTCCCCATTAGGAAAGCCAACATAGCAAGCTTCTCCAAGAGACTGGCAGTGCACCATCTTCCCCTCCAGAGCCAGGAAGCGATGCTCAAAGTGAGGACCAGAGCTCCCACAACATGAACCGTAGCTATTCTCAGTGTCAACAAGGTCCTGAGCTCCTCGGAGGATGAAAACAGCCAAGCCAACAAATTCCTCCAACAGAACCAACAGCTCTGTACAGCTTCTACCAGCTCCCAAAAGCCTTTCAGTGCCCAACAGCCTTCGTTCTTCTTCTCCAGGTCTGCCTCTTATGCTGCTGGTAACAGTCCCCATGTGGGCCTCCCACACCCAGCACCACACTTACTCAGTTCAGCTGGGAGTTATAAGTTGACCATCAGTTGTCAATCCACCACATACCCTAAACCCTTAGAGGTGTATAGGTTACAATCACCCCATTTTTTGGTCAAATAATACCCTCGTAGATCTTGCTATGTCCAGCTCTTTCCTGTGAGGAAGTCATTGCTGTTGATGGGAACATGTGGTATGCCATGACTGAAACCTGAATTTGGGGTACAAAACCTTTCCCTTAATCATATCACTGTGGTGTTAATAACTTTCAACCTTGCTATAGTTCTCTTAAGAAATTGCAACTAAGTTGATTTTTTTCTTTGCTTTTGTTTTGCTTATGGAGGAACTTTCTGAGTCAAATCTTAAAAAAAAAATGGGTGTATTTTCCTATATAAGGGAAGCTCTTTATAAAATAGGTTGCTGCTATCCAAGGAAACTGGAAAGCAAGAGCTTTGAGGGTGTGGTCTTCTTGATTAGGAGGAATTTCTCAGGTAATTTTGTCCATTAAAAAAGTATTGTTGGGGCTGGGGATTTAGCTCAGCGGCAAAAGCGCCTGCCTGGCAAGCGCAACGTCGTGAGTTCGGTTCCCGGTACCGGAGAAAAACCAAAAAAAAAAAAAAAAAAAAGTATTGTTTTCATTGTACTGGAAACTAATTTTATTCCCATGTCTGAGCACACATTCTGATGTGATTTGGAGTTTATATTGGGAGATGAGGGATGAATAAATATCACAGAGACTCATCCATGGTAATAAAAGCTAAAATTTACTGAATGGTTAATTTGCATGAGGTTCCTTTATATACTGTTTCAGATATATTAAGTTGATTAATCTTCCCAATACCCTAAGTGTACCCTTATTTTAGGTCAGAATCTTGAGGCACTGTCCACTCCAAGGGGAACGTATAGATCTTAGACTGGAGTCTTGACTTCAGGGACTTTTACATTTTCTGTTATGAACTATAGGCTTTGCGGGTAGAGAGGAACCTTGTTGGTCATCAAGGTTAGTCTGTGGGTTTGCAGACAAACTGACCTGGGTGGAACCTCAACTCTGCTTCTTACCAACTGTGAGCCCTTAAGCAAGTTCTCTCATTTGTGAAACAGGAACAATCAGAGCTTCCATGTGGGGAGTTTTGATTGTTAACTTAGGCACCGACTCCACTGGGTAAAGGATACCCAAATAGCTGCTAATATATTATTTCTGGGTAAGTCTGTGGGGGCTGTTTCAAGAAAAGATTGCAATTTGAATAAGTGGATAAATAAGGAAGAGCAGACCTCTCACCTCAACCAGTTCAGGACCTGCATAGAACAAAAGGTAGAGAAGAAAGGTAAATTTTCTCTCTGTTCCTCAGCCAGGACACCAATCTTTCCCCTTCAACATCAAAACCCCAGGTTCTCTGGTCTTTGGACTCTGAGACTTATACCAACAGTTCCCAAGTTTCTCAGGCTTTCAGCCATTGACTGCCCTGGTTCACAGGCCTTAAGACTTGAACTGAGTTATGTAGCCAATTTCCTGGCTGTTCAGCTTGCAGACAGTCTATCACAGAGGATTTCTAAGCCTCTAAATAGATCCCCTTACATATCTATGTCTATTTCTTATTGGTTCTGTTTCTTGGGAGAGTACTGACTAGTGCAAGGTTGTTGGAAGAACTAAACAAGCTAAAAAAAAAAAAAAAATGGACACCTGCAACAGTGCTCCACATCTTGTAGCTGCATGTTGAATGTGATTTCTGCTTTTTCATCCCCTCTTCTACCTAGTAGGTTGGATCATGTTGGTTTGTACTGGGGTACCCATATGTTTTTGCCTAGAGCGAAGAATTATTTCCAGGGAGCGTGGACGTGTTAGGCCAGCATTTGCTGACATGGATCTGACCATCAAGGCACCTGATTTTCAGCAGCTGGCCAGAAGAGCTAGCTCATGCTGATTTGCAGAAGCAAAGCATCCCACAAGGCAGTGGGATGGACCCTGGACTCAGACTTCGGTTCAAGTTCTGTCTTACCCTGAATATTGTGTTAGTTTCTTCATGTACAGAATTGGAAGAATATTCGTATCCACTTTGATATGCCCTCAATAAATATTAGCCCCTCTTTTTTAGAAACAACTATTATGTTAAGATTTCCTTGAGTAGTTGATGTATCTTCTTCCTAAAGTCATGCATAGCCTGGTTCAATATCCTGTGTGATATTCTTTCTATTCTACTTTCTACCAGCAAAATGTCTAAGGTGGCAACAAACCAAATGTAGTCACATTGTTTTTCAAGGCCCTACACACAGGGTCTTGCACAGGAAAGCCCGAGGAAATTCTAACAGTGAGAGAGAAGCACTTTATTGTCATCAGCTCCACTGAGTCCAGGATTGTAGCAAATGACCTCCTTGGGGTGTCTCTTGTCACCTTGGTTGGCTCTGGGGAAAAGTGAGGACTGGAGTTCAGTTGTAGCACCCACAGGCAAGGAGGTGATACAGGGGAAAGAAACTGCAAACCTGCCAGAGATATGGTACAAGTTTGTGTTCTCTAAAATCGAAGAATGAATTTTAGCAACAACAGAGGTTAAGAGCAGAATATATTTATTGGGAGAAAGAAAGCTTCTATCCCAGAGAGACAGAAGGGGAGTGGGTTGCCAAGGAACCTGCCTTTTCTAGGGATTTTTTATAGAGCAAAACCAGGAGGTAAGGTGGGTCCAAGGTGGGGAAAAACGGGAAAGCACAAGGTGGGCATGAGGTGGGACAAAACTATGGTCAACCAATATCACAAGTATAATTGTTCAGATAAAATTAAGTTGGGATCAAATGGGGAAGCAAGTCACGTTGCAAGTGGGCATGAATACAGAACAGAGGCATTTCCTGTAAGGGGTTGGGTTACTGACTCTACCTGCCTTTTTCAAGGTGGTCCTATCTAGTTAGAATATCAACCCCTGATGTCCATCCCTAGGGAGGTATGTGGGTGCATTTGTTTCACCTTTTGTCTTGAGGTCAGGCCAACAGCAGAAGTGCCTGTCTCTCCCACAGTTGCAAAGTATCTTGTTTTCCATACTGGTTCCTTTGAGGGCCTAGCCCTATCTGACTAACTATAATACTTAACTTAGCTACCTACAACAGAGGGACAGAGCCAAGGGGTTGTTATAGAGGTGGGACTGAGGCTTTGTGATGGGCATCACACCAATAATCCCCGATTCCAACGCTGGCACTGCCATTTCCTAGCTGTATGACTAAAGCCAGGGACTTCACCTTGCCAACCTTTGCTCTCTGGAATGGGAAGAAAGGTAACACCCACTTTTCTGCGGGGAGAGGTGCAGTCTGAAGACCCAAATGAGTTGTTAAAGTACTTGGCTTGCCGTAAGCACTCAATGACTGGTCGCTACCACTGCCCTCACTGAAATCAGAACCTTTGCAGAAGTACTGGGGTCCGAGCATGCGCATGCGCGGCTGGCTGGCCAGGTGAGAGGGAGGCAGTCACCTCACACCTGGGTTTAACCCTTCGTGGTCACTGGGGTTGTATAGAATTGATACAGAGGCGGGGATGAGATAGGGGAAGCAAGTCGCGAAAACCAGCAGACCTGAAGGGGGGGTGTTGGGGAGTGGGAGGGGCGGTGTCTGCGGAGAGCGACCCGCGAGTTCCAGGCCGGGGTCCGCGCACCGAGAGGAGGGCGGGGGAGCGCTGAGCGAGCGAAGTCTCGCGAGATCTCGCGGCGGCTGCGGCGGCGGCTGGGAGGTGAGCAGCGGGCGGTGGCGGCGGTGGCGGCGGCAGTTGGGGGCTGAAGAGGGTGAGAGCGGCAGAGGCCGAGGCCGGGGCCTGGGG